TTTGAGTCATCTTGAGATCATTAAAAAAGTGAAGGATGAGTAATCAAATGCTTAATGTAGTAACACCCAGGGACATTTTATAAGTAGTACCCCAAACAGAAAGTAAAACAGTGTTTTAAGCCTGAATTGCTTTTTATTGAACAAAGTCTGTATCGTTGTAGCTAATTAAAAAATGATAGCCAATATATTTAGAAGCATATTTAAAGCAAATATAATATTACAAATGGTGACAAGTGAACGTATTTTGAAGAACGACCAGGTTTTAGACATTGTCCAAAATCATTAATGGAATTTAAGCTCCTGTTTTCCATATCGAGTTTGTCTACATTTTCCAATACTACCTTATTCTGTGTTTTTACTTTTACTTCTTACTAGATAAGTACTTCTTACTTAGAAAAGAAAATCTGTTAGTTTGTAAAGAGAGAAGAGTAGGAGAATGATAATCTGTAATGGCCTGGTGGATTAATGCTTTTCATTCAATGAAACTAGTCGCTAAATATAATTCTAAGAATTATCAACATTAGATACACGATTTATAACCAGATCTAATGCCAGTAATTTCACAATGTTAAATAGAGCATACTCATCAGAAGCATGTTTAGAATGAATAAATGAATGCATGCACACAAGCACACATACGAATGAATCAGACCAGAGATAAAACTATACAAAACAGTGGAAGTCTTTTTATAATTAGCCTATTTTTCCAGGAATATGACTGGATACTTTAAGTACTAATCTGACATCTGTCTTTTGCATTAGCTACAGAATGTGTACACAAAACAGTTGTTTGCAGAAAATCATACTTACAGCCAAAGGCCAAAACATGAATTTTAATTGTTCCTCCAACTTCAGCAGATAGAGTAAATAGAATAAAAAGGTAATGACAAGTTCCATGATCACAAGGGCTAGGAAGGCTTCGTGAGATCTTTTAACAACAAAAGTGATGGTTGCCGTAAGAGCTAGAAGCTGCAAGGAAGAAATAAGTAATTTACAAGACATCTTGCAAAGATACCAGATTGCTAAACTTTCTATTTGAGGTATTAAAATAATAAAACACAAAGCTAAGAAATTTCACCAAAAGAAATGCTACATGTTTCTTTGGAATTCTAGCTAAAACAGACCATGGATATGACAAAATGGTCAGAATGTCTTGCACATAAGTCTTCATGTGAAACATATTTAATGGCAGCAGCAACTATAACCCAAGAGTTTGGAACTTCATACTTTGATTTTATTGATCAAAACAAACAGCCAAAACAAGGTACAACTTCCTTAAAAATGGAAATTAAATTTGCTGAGAGGTATTATGAAATATTGGCTGGGTTTCTATTGCATTCTTTATTTGGTTATTGAATTCATTCACTTTCTTGTTTGCATGATCATAAAGAATAAGCTGGATTTGCACAAAATATACTAATATACACACATGAACACAAACCAGCCAAGGTTAGAATTTAAAATGTGAAAAATGCAACTGTTAAATATTTAGTGGGTTTGGATGTACATTTATGGAGAGAGAGAGAGAGAGACTTTGACTTTCTAGGATATATAGGAGAAGGTGGAAGAAAAGGAAAAAGAAGAGAAGGAGACAGAGGAGAAAAAGAAAAGGAAATAGAAAAGAAAAAGAAAAAAGGAATGGAGAAAAGGTGAAAGGAGGAGAAAAGGAGGCAGAAGAAAGAATAGAAGACAGAAAGATGAAGGGGAGGGGGGAAAAGAGATGGAGAAAAAAGAAGTAAGAGGGCAACGGAGAGGAGGAGGAGGAGGAGATGAAGAGGAAAGGGGAAAAGGAGATGGAGAAAAAAGGAAGGAAGAGGAAAGAAAGAAAGAAAAAGTAAATAAAGGAAGGAAGAAAGGAAGGAGGCAGGAGAAGAAAATAGAGATGAAGGTGGAGGGGGAAAAAAGATGGAGAAAGAAGAAGTAAGATGACAACGGAGACAGGAGGAGGAGGAGAAGAAAGAAAGAAGAATGGAAAAGGGGAAGAGGAGCTGAGAAGGAGAAAGAGAAGAAAGGAGGAGAAGGAGAGAAGAAAGGACAGAAGGCGAGCCAAGGGAGGAGAGCCTCAGCGCCGCCACCCAGCCCACCCTCCGGCCCGGCGAGGGAAGAGGAGGCACTCTGCACAAGCTCAGAGGCCCCGCCCGGCCTCCACCTACCATGCGGGCCGCCTTGAGGATGCCGCCCACGGAGCGCGGGAACTGCCGGTCCACCTCCACCTTCTCCATGGCGGCGCTGCGAGGCGGCGGGCGGTGCCGGAAGGGGCGCCGGTTGGCGGGCGGAGGGCGAGGGCGCCGCGTTCCTCCACGCCTCCTCGGGCCGGCTGGGCCGTCCTACCCGGCCGGGGTGAGGGGGGCAGGGGATCGGATGAGCGCCCCCCCTCCTTCCTTCCGTCCCTCTCTTTCCAGGCCGGCCTACCTCACAAGGCGGTTGTGAGGAGACAGAGGGGCGGGGAAAGGGAATGGGGGAAAGAAATGACCCCCCCCCAAAGTGGATTTGAGCATCTCTTTCTGCCCCTCTGGATGGTCTACCTTACAGGGGGCTCGTGAGAAGGAAGCCACAAACCAGCCCAGCTTTTGGGCCCCATTGTGAAATGGGACTTTTTGGGCCAGGTTCAGGTTTCCCCATAGCTTGTAAGCTTGGAGTTGAATAAAACATGGGTTACTTTATCCCCGGAACCTTTTATGGATGCTTATTTAAGATGCTGTTATTAATTCTCCCTTATTTTAGATTAACTATGATTGTATTGGTCAGATCGATTAGTGAGAGACTTTGGGGTCCATTAAAAAAAAAGTGTCCTTGGCTAATTAATGAATGACAATGATATATATTCTCAAACTTTATTTTGGAAGAGCTTTGGGTGACAAAGGGAGATGTTTCTTCTGCAAAGAAATATGAGTTGACAAGTTGATTTTCAATGATTTATTTAATCCATTTATACGGTCTAACATACATCACTCTGGGTGGCTTACAATTATTATAAGAAATAATCCTACATTAAACATATAATGTGATTTATAGATTATGCCGGTTAGGTTCAGGGGTTATGCTAAAACATAAAAGTAGTGTTTTTAGTTCAGGCTTCAAAAGTGTTGCGTACAAATCTACTTCAAGTGGCTTTCAAGCCATAATTAATGTCACCATTATGGCTTGTACCAATATAACTTCACCGGTCTTTTTCTGCTCCAAAACTATGATTAGCTTTGCTAAAGGAATTCCGGTTTCGCAACAGGAAATAATTTAGTAAGAACCATCTTACAGCTCTGAGATAAAAGCAACTCTTTGAAATACCAGGATATTTATTATTCTTTACGTAGACTCAAATGTTAATTGTGCTTCTTGTTTATTATTATTAGCAGTTGAACATTTGTTTCAAACTTGCACCTGGAATTGTTTTACATAACTTAGGAATTTTGTCAATATGTTCCAATTATTTATACCATGTTTACACCACTGTATCTAATCTTGACTATGAATGGGTAATAGGGAGGCAAGAGAACAATTCATAATAAAACTCAACATTGTACAGTCAGAAATGGCTGCCTGGTTCCTATCAGTCAGATAAAAGGGGGTTTTCAGGACTTTCCAGAATGCCAAGAGTAAAGGGGCAAGTTTAATTTGATGGGTAGCACGTCCCACAGTGCTGCCCCCATCTTCTCTCAAAAATCACTGAATTGTATAGCTGGAAGGGACCACGAGGTCATCTATCTCAACCCTCTGCAGTGCAGAGGAAAACCAAGTCAATGTTCTTGAGAAAGGGCTGTCTGGCCTTTTTGTCAAAATCCTCAGATACGTTCCTCTTCCATAGTTCTGTTCCTGCTGTCAGGATTTTTTTTTTCTTAACCTCTGTAATTTATATCCATTATTTCTTGCCCTGGTTTCCATGGAAATGGAAGAAAGTGGGCCATTATGCAAGTCCCCCTCCCAATGCTCCTGGAAGATGGCAATCTCCTAATATAATGTATTGCTGGAGGGCAGGCTGGGACCACTCATAGAGTGAAAAGGCCACGTTGATACATGAGAGTTAATTGCAGGCCACAATGGGAGACCTGGCAAGGCAATCAGCTGTTTGGTGGCTAACAATGCAGAGACAGTGATGGAGCTGGCATTCTGGGCAAGGCCTTGAGGTGCTTTGCAGCATGTCTTTCAGGGCAGAAGTGGCTCTGAAAAGTTAGCCAGTGGTGACACTTGATGACAGTGAACTGGTTTTCCAAAAATGCTAGTAGACTGCTCAAAGCTGCTTGTATGTTTTGATCATCACTTGTATTTTTAATTGGGCCTGGAGGGGCCTGGGAACCAGTGCAGTGACTGTGATGTGGCATTATCCCACAACGGTGGGATACTAATAGTTTGGCCATTACCTTGTGTGCGAGTTAGAGCTTCTGAGCTCCAGAGAGAGCGTGTTGCAATAGTCAAAATTATGGCAATAAGGATGTGACTTCCTGTCCGCAACATTTCTCATCCAGTTATTCCGACTCTTTGTTCTCTGCAGTGCTTTTGTGCAATCCGTAATGGGGCTAACAGATCCATTATACTACTAAGCTATAATTACAACTAGCTTGATTGCAGCATCTTTGTGAAGCCAGATTATTTTGTATTATTTCACCGACATCTTGGTTTGCTTTTACACTCTCATTTTAATCCCTTCCAAATCAACGCCCCTGAGGAAGGCCGGGTTGAAAGAAAGCAGCTCACCCCCCTCCCCAAGCCACCACTGAACCCTTGCGCTGCTGCCTTCCCACAACCCACTTGATACAATTCACTTTGTTCTTCCCTGGGCTTCCATAATACACTGATCCCTCGGGTGTGCAAGCGGGCTGAGCTCGCCCACGCCAAAAAGCCCTCGCTACGCTTAGCGTATGGTGCGAATGAGAGTTGCAAAGGGTCAAAACCCAATTGCACCCGCCGGCCTGCAGCTTGCACCCCCTGCTCGTCCTCCAGGCCTCAAGGCTTGAACTACAACTCCCAGCAACCCCTTGGCAAGCTGGGCAGCTGCGCGCCTCGCCTGCTCCCCGTTGCAAAAACGCAGCTGCTGGACTGGCGCCCGGGACGAGCGCAGCTGCTCCAGCGGCGGAAGGAAGCGGCTCACCGACCCCGGCCGCTGCTCTTTCCGGCCTTTGCAACGCGGCCGCCCTCCGGTTCCCGCGGGAGTCACGCCCGTCCGGACAGGGGCGATGTGGCGGGTGCAATTGCTCCGCCACCGGCCCTGGCTGGCCGGCTTGCAGCTCCGGCCGGCTGGGCCTGGCTCGGCTTCCCGCCGCTGCAAAGGCGGCTTCTCGGAGCTCCGTCCCCCTGCGCCGCCGAGGGATCGACGCTGCCCCACGGCCGGGTCTTCTCAGCACGTCTCTTGTAGGTCCTTCCCGGGATGGGGAGGAGGGGGCGCGGGGCTGGCGAAATTTCTGGGCTGCTGCGCGGTGCGCGCGACCCGTCGGAAGGTGCCCAGGGTCCCAGGATGGCTCCGAGTTCGCCTTTGCTTTGTTTACCGTCGCTTGGAAATACTTACAGTCGCGTGGAAATGAAACAGAAGTGTCCATTGAATTCGTTAAATAAACGAATGGAGTGTTTCAGTGCTTTTGAATTGGAAAGCTGAAATTTCTAACTGTTGACCACGAAGAGTTTGGGGCATTTCTTTATTGTTTCTGCTTTTTTGGGTGGTGGTGGTGGTGGTGTATGGTTGGGATAACTCGATTTTGATGAAGTGGCTTATGATGCACAAAAAAGCTTATGTCGTGGTCAATCTTGAAAAAGTGTCACTGGTCTGGGCTTCATGAGGACCCAGCATGAAACGAGGCCTGTGAAATAGAGTTGAGTGGCAGACAAGATGCCAATATCTGAGAAAGACTATAACAAGGGACTGGGTCTAGTCTAGTCTGTGATCTTGGCTAGTCTTGTTTCCTGGATAAATAGGTCAGTTGATCCTAGAAGGCCTTGCAAGAGACTCCCGGTCCTGTTACACCAGTGGTTCTCAACCTTTTTAATGCTGCGACCCCCCCAACCGGTCGTAAGTCGAGGACTACTCAACCAGTCGTAAGTCGAGGACTACTCAACTGGTGCAGCACCATTTGCAGAATGGGACTTTTGGCGGGCTCAGCAGGGCAGAGACAGCCTGGACAATTCCTATTGGCTCAATAGAATTAGACTCTATTCAAGAGAGTATATTCTATTGGCTTTCAAAAGCCAATAGAATAAAAGGGAGGAGCACAGCTAAGGAAAAGGGGAAAAAAATGGCGGACTGCGTTGTTTGGCGACCCCCGTGAAATGGTCATTCGACCCCAAATGGGGTCCCGACCCACAGGTTGAGAACCGCTGTGCTACACAATCTTGCCCTTTCCCACATACTTCCTGTACCTCTTCTGTTTGCATCCAGTGTGGCGAGGATGAGTGCTGTGCAGGTGTGTTTGTGGCATCTGCAGTCACACTACCCCTGTCCTGCTTTTACATTTTTTCCACTATACCCAGCAAGGGCAAAGGATTTAACTTTTTCTTTTCACATATTGTGCTAAAATATCTTTTAATTCTTGTTTGCACTAGCTGCAGTTGTGCATCATATTTACCAGCAAACCATCTCATTATGATGACATGTGAAACTTGCAAAGAACAAATTACGTGACCTGGACGACAGGCCCTGCAATTCGATTCCGCCTTGAGCGGTACTGTTGATCAGGATTCTAGCAAGGCTGTTCAACTTCCTCTTCTCCTACCCTTGATCATCATCTTTTAAGTAATTGATATTAAAAGAAGATTTTAAGAGCTACAGAAAAATAGAAGAAGAAATAGCAAAAGGGTAAAAGGAAAACAAGAATAGCAAGAAAAAAGATATCGAAAGCAAATCTGGTTCTTTGCAGCAGTTGTAGACATAGTGATTACCGATTCCTCTTTCCTATATTGCATGCCATAGTTCCTTTCTTCCCATAAATCATTTTAATCAATACATCCAAAAATCATTAGTTTATTTTTATCCATATGCAATAAAAAGTCCATAAGTGGTTTCCAGTTTTTTTTTTAAATAAAAGTAATTGTTGTTCTCTCCTTAAACAAGTTCTTCAGTATATGGATCCATCTTTAGACTGTCAGAATTAACTTAATTAAAACAAGTTAATTTAGCCATTTTTGCACATTGCCATCCTTCCATGATTGCTGTTTCTATAGCCTTCGATATTTGTGCATAAAATAGCCTTAATACTATATACTTTCCTTTGTAGTTCCACTAATATTTCAAGGTATTACCAGCACCAATTACTCTTCCAGCTTAATGCCTTTGTTTTCTTTTAAAGATAAGCACCTGGAAAACGGAGGAGAAAGGAAGACAGTTGTAAGTATGAAGCTCCCATATGCTGCATTAATGAAACAATAATGAAAACCATCACTGTGCATTTCTGAATGCAGACTTGCAAATCTTTTTGTGGGATCTCATAAAGGAGAGGAATAATACATATGTAGTAGGTTTTAAAAAGCCTTGGAGGTATAACAGTGTGCAGATAGGAAGAATATATGAAGTCTGTATTGAAACCTTAATTAAAGTGATAATTGATGAAACTGATAATTGATGCTTGCTCACTTGATTGATAACATGATTGCATGGACTTTTTATTTGATATTTGATGTATTGGCTCTTTGAGTTTAACCAGAATGGGGAACCTGACTCCACAAGCAGGGTAGAAGAAAATTTTATTGAAGTACTGTAGGCTATAATAACGGAATTGGATTGTGAATTGGTTGTGAATTGATAGGATGTAAGTAATAAGTTGGGTTTTATTTTTCTTTCCCCTTTTCTTATATACCCCAGAGCAGGGGTAGGCAACCTTGGCTCTTTTATGACTGGTGGACTTCAATTCCCAGAATTCTTGACCCAGCCATGCTGAGGGGAAAGGGAGAGGTTTCCAAGCTGGGCCATGCTGGCTCAGGAATTCTGGGAGTTGAAGTCCACCAGTCATAAAAGAGCCAAGGTTGCCTACCCCTGGCTTAAACCACGAGACAATGATTATGTGGTGATTTAGAATGTGAATTTGGGAGGGGGTGTTTTATGTAGTGAGGAGAAAAAACCCTGTGTTTTCCAAATTGAGAGAAGAGCAAATCCTAACTTTTTTTGAATTTGAGTTTCACCATTGAGAGTTTACGTGCTGTCATTTCATCAAGCACCAGCCTTAATCAGGATTTTGTTTTCTTTCTTTCTGTTTTCATCAGATCTGCATCGAGGGGAATATTGCTAGCGGGAAAACAACCTGCCTGGATTATTTTGCTAAAAACACTGGCATTGAGGTGATGCGTTGTGCTTTCTTGAGTTTTTCATATTCTAAGTGTGCTTCACGCAGATGTAAATAAATAGGATCAGGATTGCAGTTCATACATTTAGTGAAATTCCTGCCCTACGAAATATTTTTTTTTCACCACAGTTCCTTTGAATATCATGTCATAGTGGGAGTTCCAGATACGTTGCTAGGTTTTTCCTGCCCTAAAATTACTTTATATAATTCACTTTCAATGCTTCAGGGCAGATTACGAAAACATAATAAAACAATTCATTTGTAAAACTGAATCCCACAAATACATAGCACCAAAAAAGCCTTGGTGAAAACAGGCTGGAACTTTATAAACTATAATAAAGGGTGTGGCTGCTGTAATTTGAATGGCATTTTGCTTCATAATACATATCGGCCTGTGGGAAAAGCAGATTAAATTGCTAACTGGTAACTGGTAGACTGAACCTGGTTTAAACCTATCTTCTGTCACTGTATGTCAATTTCAGAAGTTGCCTGCCTTCTGAAACTGACAAATGTCAGCTTGGATTACCACAGAAACTCCTTGTATTAAGTATCTTGAGCTTCTCTACAAGATAAGTGTGGGAGAATTGAAAAGGCTGACTGGACATTCAGAAAGTTCAAAAAGGTGTGGCAAAAATAGAAATTGTTTTTTTTTAATTGAATGAACCAAAAAAAAAAAAAATCAAGGCCACACTCCCTGAAACATTGCAGAATTAGAAAGAAACACAAAGCAGGGACAAAAACGAAGCTAAGGAAACAATGAAAAGATCACCAATCAGTGGTTCTCAACCTTTTCTTCACCATGCCCCCCCCCCTTTAAATACCTTTTGTGGCCATAAACATCCAAAACTTAAAGCAAGATTTAAATCATAACATTTCTTCAAGCCTTCGTGGACCCCTTGTAACGACATTGCAGCCTCCCAAGGGTCTGCCGACCACAGGTTGAAAACCACTGATACAGATATTTTATTGGCTAGTGGTTTCACATAGTAGTGAAAGAGCATAAGAGAATCTCAAGAGAATTTTTTCAAGGGCAAAATCTGTCCTTGGCAAAGCAGTCAGTCATAGAGAAGCTTACGTACTGGCATAGCATCTGTCTGAGGGTATCAGTTGCTAATCTTCCACATTTCTCGGTTGTTTCTCTGGTGTAGCTTCAGAGAAGTAAATTTTCTGTCTTGTACTGATTTTTTTTTTTAACTTTCAAGGTGTTGACTGAACCGGTATCTAAGTGGAGGAACGTCCGTGGACATAACCCTCTGGTAAGTTGCTAGAATGAAGCTCCTGAACTTATTTTCTGCATTAATTCTTTTAACTGCTTGAAAGCCCTTGAATTATAGTGAGAAATTAAAAACTGAACTGCCCTTATATATAACACCAGGAAACATACTCATTCTCTAAGCTCATGAGTTATTAAGTAGGTTGTTTATATGATTTGCTAGAATAAGATATCCCAAGACAGCAGATGTTCTACTTCCTCTTTGTAATTTGGTAATAATTTTCAAGCCTTGCTTTTTGCAAATAGTAGGTCTCAGTTGTAAGTGCTGGTCTTTTTGAAGTGAAAATACATTTAGGCCCAAAGGAAGGTATGAATCGCAAATATTCCTTGGTGGCCAGTGTCCGATTGAGAACTGAATATGCTTAGTAAATCCTTCCCATTGGGAAGAAGAAATTAAATAAATACTGGAGGATTTGTAACTATATGTGCTCATGTACCTAATACTGCAACAAAGTCATATTCTATTCTATTCTATTCTATTCTATTCTATTCTATTCTATTCTATTCTATTCTATTCTATTCTATTCTATTCCATTCCATTCTATTCTATTCCACTCCACTCCACTCCACTCCACTCCACTCCACTCCACTCCACTCCATTCCACTCCACTCCACTCCACTTTCTATTCTATTCTATTCTATTCTATTCTATTCTATTCTATTCTATTCTATTCTATTCTATTCTATTCTATTCTATTCTATTCACATTCACATTCACATTCACATTCACATTCACATTGCATTGAATATAGTCTTATCGTTTTCTACCCAATGCCAGGGCTTAATGTATCAAGATGCAACCCGGTGGGGGCTGACACTACAGACTTACGTACAGTTGACTATGTTGGACCAGCATACAAAACCAATGGTATGTTTTACAGTGTAGCATTAGAATCCTAATACAGGCAGTCCTCAATTTACGACCACAATCGAGTCCAAAATTTCTGTAGCTAAGTTTTCCAAAGTTGTTAAGTTAATTTTGCCCCCACTTTCCGACTTTTCTTGTCACACTTGATAAGCGAATCATTGCAGTTGTTAAGTTAGTACACAGTTGTTAAGTGAGTCTGGCTTTCCTATTGACTTTGCTTGTCTGAAGGTCACCAAAGGTGATCACACCACCCCGGGACATGGCAACCATCATAAATAATTGCCAGTTGCCAGAGGTCCGAATTTTGATCACGTGACCAAGGGGATGCTGCAACAGTCGTGTGAAAACTGGTCAAACTCTTTTATCAGTGTGGTGGTAACTTCGAACAATCAGTAAACAAATGTTGTAAGTTGCAGACTTCCTGTACTGAGAGCCAGTGTGCCATAATAGTTAAGATACTGGGAAGGTAATATGGAGACCCTGGTTCAAATCCAGTCTCTGCCAGGGATGCTAAATGGGTGATTTTGGATCCGTCACCTTCACTTCATCCTACATCCTTGGTTTGTCAACATGGGGGAAAAAAGGAGGACAGAGAACTATACAGTTCTTGAACAAAAGGTCGGATTGAAATTAACAAGGTTGCTGGTTTCATAATGGCCTTGCTGATGTTAAATAAACTTTAAGGGAATCAATAAGGACTACAAGGAATCTGTAGTCCAGTGGATGCTGCAGAACAGCTGATGTTCCCCTCCCCTTGAATAGCTAACAGTCTGTCTGTCTGTCCACCCATCTATCCATTCTTCTGAATGGCTTTTGACATTTAATTTACAGATTTCTTCCATAAGAATGATGGAGAGGTCAATTCACAGTGCAAAGTACATTTTTGTGGAGAACTTATATCGCAGGTACGGTACAAAGTGTGCTTTTAAGAGAGTGGCTTCATATTTTATTCATTCTGAAATAGCTCAGGAACAGAGCCAAATTACCATCAAATTGTCAGTTGCACACTGACTGGCTAAGGCGTGCTGGCTGCTGCTATTCATCTTGCAATATATTTTCGATTTATCTTCCCATTATTTTTGCACTCTAAAGAAAAGAATAAACATACAGCCAAACTAGATTTCTGTTCTGAAATATGGGAGGAAAAGGAGAGGCCAATTTGTTAATCCACAAGGTGGCATCTTGGCTACAGAGAGTCTCTTGAGCAAAGGTGCAGATGTGATGGTACAAAAATACCTTTTGGTTCTCTTTTATCCAAACTGCTGAAGTAATACGATGTAGCAATTACTGTATTTGTCTGACTGCTATTTGTATGTGTCTTTGAAGAAATTACATTAACTGCTTTTTTGCATGTGCGCATTGGATACACGTTAAAAGCTTTGCTAATTGTTGGGTTGGGTGGAAGTTATGCACTAGTTGTTTGAAATTAATTTTGTTCTTTTATATTATTTAAACCTGAATTAGAATAAGCAAACCACGGTTATATGCTATGTGCTTGGTTTAGCTATGGAGTAGAAGGCTAGTACAAGCACATACCTTCATGTGCTCTTCTGCATATAGTCCTTGCTTACGTGTGGTAACCATGCAACATTGAACTGATTCATATAAATGTTGACATTGTTCAGTGGATGATTACTGAAAACAGATCAGATACATTACATTAAAATCTTTTGGCTCAATTACAGCAATGTGATGGCCTAATGGTGAAGACACTCATCTTCCATTTGGAAGGTTGAGAGTTCAGTCCTAGGTAGGGGTAAATGTTTCTCTTCTAGGGTGCAAAGAAAAAAAAAACTGTGACCTCCACATAGACATCAGGAAGGGCATCTGGCTAGTCAATGCTGAGCTCCATCCAGTTGCCCAGACTCTACCCTGAATTATGGGATTACAGGGTTGTAAAAAGAGAGTGATTGAGGTAGAAATATCCAGAAGTGAGGGGAAATATATTCATTGATTCACAGTGATGTAAAATTGGAAAGCCTTCAACTTGGATGGAAGACAACTAGAAAATACCAGGATTGTTGGTTAGACTGGAAAGTGGGGAAGAAGGAAGTGGTGAATTCCTTCTATATTCTTTGGTGAAATAAAAGACAAAAATGTACCTATATGAAGGCATCATTAGTTGAGCTTGAGTTAAGGGCAACAGTATTGATCTTCCAGTCGTAGTAGAACTTAACAAATGTTGGCTGATCTGCAAAAAAGCTGAGCAAGATTATGCTTGCTTAGTTCTTGGAGAAGAGAATTCCATAGTGGTGGGCTAGACTAGTAAACTAAAAAAAAAAAAAAAGAATCTCAGAAGAAAGCAAACCTCAAGCAAAGTCAAGGGGGAAGCCAGCAGGAAGTTGCAAATGGCAGCCATGTGACCATAAAATGCTGTGGTTGTGCGGGATCCACCTAACAGTGGCAGTTGGGACTGTTCCAGCTGCTGTCATAAGATGGTGCAATCACATGACATCACACTGCACAGTTAATGGAGTTGCTGGTCCCAGTTAACATCATCTTTAAATGAGGACTCCATGTAAGCCGGCAAAGCTCTGAGATTTTGACCATGGGATATGAGATCTTGGCGATTTTAGAGGAGGATTGGGCCAGTATACATCATTTTGTGATGAGGATGAAGAGAAAGATTAGCAGTTGCCACTTGATAGCATGAAGATGAGTAACTGAACTATTGACAATATTTTTTGTTTGTGTTCCAACACTGGGTGCCTGCTCAGATCATTCTCTTGTATTTGTTGCAGTGGGAAAATGCCAGAAGTAGATTACGTCATCCTGACGGAGTGGTTTGACTGGATCCTTAAGAATGTGAACGTGTCACTTGATCTGATAGGTAAACACCTCTATTGATTCTTCAGTGGTGGAGAGGTTTCATGGCTATGGATCATTAGGGATTGCTTTGATAATCTGAGTCTGAACAGACCAACACAAGGTTCTCCAACACGATGCCAATCAGATAGTTTGACTTTCAATGTCCATAATTCTTCAATCACTGTGAATTAAGGCAGTTGCACTTTCAACATATATGAGGGGAAATGGGTGAGAGAAATCATATGTACAATCTGTGTTGTTTCTTTTTTTAATAAAGTAGAAGCTTTTGTGTTTGTCCATTGGTGTGTGTAGGGTAGACTATCTTTTTAGCTCTGAATTATTATTTTTCTTTTGATAGTTTAAAATCTAGAATAAGTTCATCTTTAGTCTACCCAAAAATATTTTTTTCACAAGGCAACTGGACTTTCTTGTTGTCCAGTTGCCTCGTGAAAAGCATTTTTGGGACAGCAATGACCTGGATGACTGAGAATCTCCATAGACATCTTAGTCTACATTGGCAGTAAAGGCTTCAGTAGCAGTTTCTGCATTGTATGCTTAATAGGTGATTACATGAATGTATTCTACTTTTTTTAACTTGAAATGTTTATCACTTTGGGATTTTTTTTTCCTGAGAAGCAAATAAGATTCCTATAGGTATAATTTTTCTTTGTATTCAGTTTTATTTATGGCCAAAAGGCCCCAAAGCAAGTTATAAATGTAATCTAAATTTGGCATTGAATAAAAACACTTTAACAAGTAAGATATTTAACACGCATTACATCATAGACTTAAAACCCCAACTCATGGATTAAAATCCATGGTTTTATAACCATAGTTAGAAATCTGCCGCTAGTGGGATCTGAGCTTTCAAAAACTGGATGGATCTTCAAGAATATTCAGTTTATTTTAGTACCCCAAGCATTTTGAATGGGAAGTGCTTGGTTTCAAATGGATAGCTGTTGTTACAACTGTTGTAACCATTTTGGAATTCTTTTCAAGGCCGAATCAACTCTGCTTCTGAGTTAAAAATACTTCTGAAATGATTAAAACTGCCCTTGCATTCTTAACAGTTTCAAACTATGATGGTTTAATGCAGTTTATCTACAGACCTCTCCTGGCATGTGTTACCAGAGACTCAAGCGGAGGTGCAGAGAAGAGGAAAAAGTCATTCCCATAGTAAGGAGAAGATCTTTTCATTTTTTGGAAGGTTACAACTTGATTGGTTGGAAGAAGAATTGAAAGCCTTCAGTCCCCCTAACACAGTGGTTCTCAACCTTTTTAATGCCGCAACCCCCAACCGGTCGTAAGTTGAGGACTACTCAACTGGTGCAGCACCGTTTGCAGAATGAGACTTTTGGCGGGCTCAGCAGGGCAGAGACAGCCTGGACAATTCCTATTGACTTTTGAAAGCCAATAGAATTAGACTCTATTCAAGAGAGTCTATTCTATTGGCTTTCAAAAGCCAATAGAATAAAAGGGAGGAGCACAGCTAAGGAAAAGGGGGAAAAATGGCGGACTGTGTTGTTTGGCGACTCCCGTGAAATGGTCGTTCGACCCCAAATGGGATCCCGACCCACAGGTTGAGAACCACTGCCCTAACAAGACAGATGTCATAGGCATCCAGTGGGGCAGGAGATCAAATGTCAACGTATACATAATGTCATCACAGAGATGATGGGAGTTGAAGTCCACACATCTTAAAAGTTGCTGACATTGAGAAACACCACTCAGCACTGCTCAGTTAAAAGATTACAATTGCACTTCTCCATTTCAACAAGTTTTATTAATTTTTCAATTTTTACATCCAAGTAATTAGGAAGCAGCGTGGTGATAGGGTAATCAATAGTCCAATAACAGAGTCATTCATATATATATATCTCAGTTGACATCATTAAAAGTTCCCTCTCTATTTCCCTTAGTTATTATATCAATTTAATTTAATATATTTCTAGGTAGAGCTCAATCAATGCATTTTATCAATAAAATTTTAGTTATACATATCCACGTCCTGTTTTTAAGTTTTACTTAATTCCAATTACCATGTTCCAATTTAGCCTTTAATAACCATAATGTTTAAACTTTGGGTAACCCTAATTTCCCTCATTTCATTACAAGATAATTATCATGGCTAAAATACACATATTGTTCCAAAATTTACATTCTTACCTTATTTCACAAATACATTCTATTTCTCATCCTAACAGCTCCTCACTTACTAATAAAATATCTTTCATTGTCGCAAACCCATTTCCATATAACAGTTCAAAGCTATAATCTAACAGTTCATTTTCATTTCCATTATAAATCTAAGTCCTAAGTATTAAATCAGTCAATATCTCTAAAAATCTCCTTCTGACTGGAGAGGTGTTGAGTGCTCAGTGACTGGGATGGGGAAACGGCTGTCCTGGATAAACAAGGTCCAGGGTCACTCCTCAGCCCCCCCTCCCAAATCTGATTGTCCTATTGCAACTTACATCAGATATTTGGCTGTTATTGCAACTATCCTACCTTTTGCTTCTACAGAACACAAATCGTGATCAATCAAAAGTATTTTTGCTTCTGTTAAAAACTAAAACCGATCATCCTCCTTTTTATTTCTCTTCTGGACAGGAGTATTTAGAAGCTATTCATCAGCTTTATGAAGACTGGCTCATTAAACAAACATTGTTCAAAGTCCCTTCCCCGGTGCTCGTAAGTATATATATATATTCATGATTATCTTGAAAGATGCTTTGGCCCAAACAGGAAAAGGGTATCTGAAAGAATGCACAGTTTTTATGATGTTTGTAAAAAAAAAGTCTTGCTCTCCATCTTGTCATGTCTCAATATTAACTATCTTCAAAGGCTTCTTCGACTTATTATAAACTTTCCACAAGAGGGAAGGACATTTTAATAGCATTGTGGCAGATATCAGCGTGGATTTCTGCAACTTGGGAAGTATAACAAGCTGGGGAATTCGACCGTTTCTTCTTAAGAGGACCAAGCAATTGATCCCTGTGGATGTGCCTGTTTTGGCTTATTGTTAATGGTTTCAAATCTTCCTGACTTATTTCTCTGTCCTTTAGTTGAGTCCCAAACTAGCATAAGTCTGTGCGGTCCTGGATCTTTCCCAGTTTACCCCTTATTCTTCTCTCTGCTGACTGGTTTTCAGGAGTGTTGATGGTTCAAACTGCTCATGCTAAACTTCCAGGCTGTTCGTGGAGAAATATCCCATTATAAGAATTATTTGATTGCAATTCATGTTGTTTGTGCTAGATTTGTTTGTGCAATCACCTCACATTTGAACTCTTTTCTGTGTAGCTCCTACTCTCCCGTTGTCTACCTCATTGAAATTCATTAGGGGCCTGATCTGCTCAGTTTTAAAAAAGCCCTTTAAGTCATTTCCAGGACTTTTATAAAGCTTGAAGATCTATGGTTGGTGGTTGCCACACCAGATGCTGATGTAAAACATGGTAGTGCTGGAGTTAGACAGAAGTGTAAAAATTGACCTGTGCACACCTATGTGTTGCAATATTAATGCCTGTATAAAATTACTACAAAAATACTACGAATTGAGGAGATCACTTATGTTGGCTGGGCTTTACATATTACCATGTTTAGCACAATTTATTACATGAACTATATGTCAATGCTGCAAATACTGTATATTCTTGCTTTGACAATATGCAAAACTGTTTGGCATTTATTGGGTTAATACTTAGCTTAGACTGGGCGGGGGAAAAAGCCCGGGAAAGAAAGAGGAAGTAAACTTTTGACCTTCTCACTAATTGGATAATGTGACCTGTGACTGCATGAGAAGGGAGGGGTTGAGCAAGGAAAGCTTGATGCCAGCGACCGGAAGTTCAGATTCTGGCATTAACTAGTCCAATGGTGACTGGCATAAATTGTAGCTCTGCAAATAAAGACTTTAGGAAACATGCCTGAAAGTTCTTTGAAGTGCTTCATTAGTCGGAACTTGTGACACTATAATTGATTGCGTTTTACATGTCATACTAAAACCAAGCAACATTGTTAAGCCAGTGGTTCCAATTGAATGAGTGTGAATGAGTGGTCCGTTAGCGCACGTAGTCTGCTTGCTTGAACAAAAGGGAAAGAGTTGCATGCCATCTGAACAAAGAATGCCAAGAATACATATGCCAAACACGCTGGGGTATGTAAATCAAGAACAAATCCTAAATTAGTTCAAGCTCATGAATGTCGGCTTCTTTAACACACAATCTCAATTTCAGACTTAGATACTGTCTCATCTGTAGATTTTTTTTCAGAGATGTGCTTCAGCATTTGATCATTTGAGTCTTTTTAAGGTGCTGCAGGCTGACGATGACCTGCAGGAAATGATGGAGAAATACGAAGAGAATCAGGACCAAATCTTAATGTTGGACAACACCCAACACCGTCTGTAGAATTAGCTACTTTACTATGGACAAGATGCTGTTGCCCAAAACAAGTACACAGCTGATAACCTAAGCTAGAGAGAGCTGAAGATGGGTTCCTGCAAGCAGCTTGAATTGGTGGGCTTGGAAACTTGAAGGCATTCTGAGAAGCTTTGCCAAGTGGTCCAAGTGCTGGAATTGCAGAATTGCTGAGAAGGTACACCATTTCTATGCAGGATGAACCACCCAGAAGCAGACTGCAATTTAGTCTTGGGAAGAATTGGATTCTGCGCTCTTCTCTGTTTTTGGACTGAGTAAACACCCACATATAAGGTGTGGCTAATACTTCTCTTTCAGCAGCCCTTCTACTTTTTTTGAGCTTGCCCTTACGCTGCTAGTGAGACCCGAGCGATTCACAAATGATGGAGAAATAGGAAGAGAATCGGAATGAAATGCGTAGCTATTGACTTCATTCTTTCTGCTGCAAACAGATGCCGCTGCTTGGAGTTAGCAAATGTACAGCTTGCTTTCTGAACGAGCCTGCCTCAAATACAATCACATTTAAATCTTATTTTTTTTTTAAAAAAAATAATTTTAATAGAAGGGGACAAAGAAAACAATGGGCCAATGCTAGTATGTACTTATTGCATTTGTGTTAATACTTTTAAGTATACTAAAAAGTTTATACAATATGACAGCGGACTGGCAGTCTTGGTGTTGGCTGGTGGCATCAGTGTCAGCGGGAGGGGGGGAATAGTTTTGTGAGTGCAGCCTAATCCCATACATGTGCAAAGGGAGTTTCGTGTGCTTGTCCGCCATTTGCTCAGCCTCATTCCCAATGGTTGGCAGTCGGTATCCGTCTGTGGCATCGCCCCGATTCCTGGGGCCTGGGGATCATTACAATATGGAATAGTCCAGTTATTTTCTGTCCAGGAACACATAAATTGTATAATTTGTATAAAACAAGCAAATCAGGAAACAGAGATGGACTGTGTTGTGTTGACACCCAAAGCTGGACTGTTGTCAGAATTCATTCCAGGAGCCCACTTTGGATGGCCCTGACCTGCTCTGTGAGACCAGCCAAGGCAACCCAACCAGAACGCAGATCCTTTTGCCTCTCATTCTTCCTGTCTTCCAGGGGAAGATAAATCCCAGGGATCTTCACACTGAGCTTTTAGGCAGCTCAAGCCCAGTCAGCACAAAATCTATTTGCTGACCGGTGTCTGAATTGTGTCCATGGCCACGTCTGGGCAGGATGAGAGTGAATATGGTCCAACTTTCACCCTTGGTTTGAGAGCTCCAGGTTTATATTCCCTACAAGTCAGTTCATTTGGAATTATTTATTATAGAGTTTTGTATTTGATAATTAAGATTTTGGGTTTAAGGAAACAGTCATGTTGGATCAGTGACTTACGTGAGATGTAGATAAATGATGGAATACAGGCATAATTTTTTGATCTGCCTTTAACTGTTAATCTAGTTTTGCTCAACTTCTTACAGAAAAGTATACAAACGGTTATATCAAATGATTGTGGAATTTTCTATTTGGCATGTTTTGGAAAGAAATTCTTGGTTGGAGTTTAGCAGGGTAAGAACAACAGATGTGATTCCAAGATATTTATCATTCCTTTCCTTATCGCTTCATTAAAAATGCATCATGGGTTGTTGTCTCACATTCTTAGTCCAAATAGAATAACTGTGTTCTCCCTGGAACACAGAATTCTAAGATGGGAGATTACATCTTTTATTTAAATTGTAATGTTATTGGTAGAAAATTAAGTGTGATTCAGTTATTCTCTAATTGAGCTGCATAGCGCTGCAAAGAAAAATATAACTGCATTAAAAATCTTTAATATATTAACACTTATCGTCAGTGATTTGATCTATGTCAAGATACAACAGGAACACTGCGTTCTAATCTGTTTTCCTACCTAATATTAGGTACGGTAATCGTAAAATCTTTTCAGTCTCCATAGTTGGCCTCACTCTGGTTGTGAAAGTGAAAGCAATTTTGAAATAACTTTTTAAGATTCACAAACGATCTTTTAGGACTGGATAGGAAAAAAATGCACCTGGCAGTGGACTCTTCACACAAGCCTACAGAAAGACTTTGATATTGTATCTTCAGTACAAACACTGAAAGAGAAAACCATGCTACTCCTGCAGGATGTTCTTCCAACCTTTGTGTAATGAGTTGTGTCTGTGTGTGTACATCTTTGTACATGCCCTCAAGTCAATGTTGAGTCCTGGATTTGCCTCTGCAGTTTTCTTGGCAAAGTTTTTCAGAAATGGTTTGCCATTGCTTCCTTCCTAGGGCTAAGATAGGAGTGACTGGCCCAAGGTCACCCAACTGACTTCATGCCTAAGATTGGACTAGAATTCTCCCTCTCCCGGTTCCTAGCCTGGTGCCTTAAACCAGGGCTTTTCAACCAGTGGTATGGGTACTACCTGTGGTACATTGACACCTGGCAGGTGGTACGCGACCATCCTAGAAAAGTGGTAGCGGGGGAGAGGAATGAGCTGAACCGATGGCAGCACCGCACAAGCCTGAGTGACAGATGGCTGGAACTGCAGGGCTGTCAGAGCTCAGCGGAAGCACCAGGATCAGCGCCAGGCTCCAGCTAGTGCTTGGCACTGATCCTGGCGCTTCTGCTGAGTCCAGAAGTGCCGATCAGCTGGAATGTTGCAGTCTCTCCAGGGTCTTGTGATTTACATTCAGATGCTTGGCAACTGATTCATATTTATGACGGTCACAGTGTCATGTGAAGTGACCAAAACCTGCTACAACCACCCAGCAGATGGGGGGGGGGAATAAAAACCAAACACCCACCCCACCCCCGCTGCCAATCCTCAACAGAAATGCTCACAACAATGAAAACCTCGGACAGGAGGAAGAGCGCCGCCAGGTGGGCAGGCAGGTGTCTTGCTCGGCTGTGCCTTGGGGGGCACTTTTTTCGAACAGTTATTAAGCGAACTGTTGTAAGTCGAGGACTACCTGTACTTCATCACTTTTTTTTTTTTGGTCATCATGTTTTTGACCCCTTGCTAGGCGACTGGTGGTACTCGGATATTGCCATATCCTAAAAGTGGTACAATAGGTGAAAAGGTTGAAAAGCCCTGCCTTAAACCACTACACCAAATTGGCTTGGTTTGTTTAAGCAGCCCCAAGAAAAGAAGATAGCTTACAATTTGAAATGGGACAGTAGGATAATGTTACAAAGACAAATCAAGAATATTTTTTTTTAATTCCAGAAAGAGTAATTTTCAAGCAGAACAAATATATTCCAAAGCAATTCTTCCTTGGCTTTTTAGGCATTACATATAAGCAATCCATATTCTGAGCCTCATTATTAACATTTTTGAATAGATTTTATGAATTCTAGTTGTTTGACATGGATAGGACAAGCCTGGAAGAAGCCAAATGAAAGAAGAAAATCAAAAGGAGATAGGAAAAACTGAGCATTGCCCAACATATTTGGGATCCAAATGGCTTTTCTACGTGGGATTCAGAAGAAATTATTTTCCCCTCATTTTCATGTTTTTTTTTTTTTGTTAGAACAACATACTAGGATTTAAATGCTTCCCCCTTCAAATTTCCTGTTGAGTCCAAAATGCTTTTTCAAAAATAAAATAAAATAAAAATACCAACATCCTTGAATTGTTTTCTATCAAATTATTTTTGGTTATATTTCAGTATAGAAGCAGCTTGCATTTGCCACTTTGTCTGATCAACCTGCTATATTGCAAAGAATCTAACAGAAAGATGCAACAATGAACCAATCAAGAGCAAATTTGGAGCTATTTGATATTCTGTTTCTGGGTATATTTCCTATGTTAAAAGCAATCGTATTTATTTTAACACGATTCATGTGTTTATGGACTGACAGCATTCAGGATCTAGATAACTCAGTAACTTTCTTATAGAGGTAGTTCTTGTTTAGCGTCTGCCTAAGATAGACCATTCACAGTCATGAAAAAGTAGCACATTTATGAACTCCAGGTTTGTAAAGCAAAGGAAAGCTGAAGTAAGACCATAAGGAATGGTAGTTTCTTTGGATGACTGCTTAACAACCAAGTTGCTGATTCCAAGTCTCTTTGCTAAATGAGGACTACCTGTAATCGTGTATTTTAAAGTTTACAATTAACATTTCTTTTAATTAAATCTGAACTGCGTGGAAAGAACAGAAAATGCTCAGAGAAACTTCACCAAAACATTCCGTATCTGTACAGTTTCTTAGTCCTAGTTCTTTATCCTGGACAACTTTCAGGCACTTAGGAATGGCATAAAAGAGGAAAAAAGGGGCACTTGGGTTCTCCCCAACGTAGGTACCCTTCCCTAGCATGTCTGCCAACACTTAAGTCATGTGCAGAGAGAGGGAGATCCAGAGGAGACATTGGAACTGCATAAGTGGATGGAAAAGGCCATTGGAAATTGAAGGAATGGTGACTTCCCCCCCCTCTCCCCAGCCCTTACAAGTATAATCTTCTTTCAGTGATCTCACATCTCATGAGATCTTAGCCGAGCACATCTGAAGTCCTATGAAACATCCCATGATCATCTCTTGCAAGATTTTACCCCTTCATGAGAAGCATGTGGATCTGGTAGACACCACAATGTTGCTAAGAGACCACGTGACCAATCTTGTTGTAGCTTCAACTCAGTAAATTCAAACTTGGTAGTCCCAAAGCTCCCAGGGACTTACTTTTCAGTTATCTTGGTTAGTAACAACATAACCTTCTAGGCTAGGTTCGTTCATAGACACTACATGAGTATCCACCAAAGAGGGATGGAGGGGATATCTCTCTTGTCTATGCCGAATACGTGCTGGAATGTCACCACAGTACTGAGCCTCGGTGGGAATGGGACAGGTTAAAATGGGGACATCTAGACGTCTGCCGTAACCTGGACCAAGTGTGGGATTTCTGCACCCAGCGATATTGTTGAAGCGATCTGATGAATAAAGGTCCATGTTGTAATTGTCTCTACAGGATAGATTTGCCAATGACATCTCAGGATGATAAAGTTCTTCAGAAACTCTGTGGCTCCTTGCAGACTCTGGCCGTGCTGTTTCTTCCACAGGATACATTAACTTCTCTATGTAGTCTTCCTCGTTCTTTGGCTTATCTAACATCAAGGCCAAGTCATTGGAAGAGTCACATGACTGCTGCACCACGCTGCCTTTCAGTTCTTTGGGTTCATCAACTGTGTCTGACCCACGACTACTCAGACGCTTCACTGCATCACAGATCTTTGGTTCGGCCGTGGTTTGACAAGAGTCTTGAGTCTGGTAAACATATGGAGCTTTGCTTACCATAGTAGAATCATTGAAGATGGATAAGGCTTGAGGACCACTTTCATTAGAAGGCAGAAGGGGGAGGGATTCTCCCCCACAGGTTGGTAGGCCCAGTCTTGTTTCTTTAAGCCAGGTCTCCTCATTGGTTGCTCTGGAAGAAGAAGAGATAGAGAAGTGGAGAGGCTTTTGTCCAATGACAATGTCACTGTATTTAATCAGAAAGTCCTCACTGTCCGTGCTTCTGATGCAGGAATGTGTTGAGGTTTCTTCTGCTTGGTTTTGGTTCTTGTCCTGCTCAGGAATCTGTTTGGAAGCAACTGCCTGAATCTCTGTTGTAATGCATTGGAGACCAAAGTTGTTGCCATGCTCTATCTTGTCCTCTGTGAAGGCACTCGGGCTGTGGCTTAAGTAGGCCATTCCAGGATTTGGTGTCCCGTTGCTTTCTTCAATATCTTTCGTATCATCTTTTGTTTGTGAGTGTTCCTGATTTATATCTAGGCCAGCACAAGGAAGACAATATTTCTGGGCCCTCTTCTCTAGGATATCAGCAAGGTCACTGTCTTTCATGTCCCCTGCAATTTCAAGAAGGTTTTCGCATTCAATTCTTGCAAGGAATATTTCAAATGCGGTTTTCTCCGCTTCTTCCTTGTTTAGTTTTCGGACCAGTGAATATTCAGTGGCAGTGGTGGCAACATAGCCGATTTCTGACATCAGTTGCTGTACTACACTTTCTGGAAGAATGGACTTTACACAGTAGACAAAGTTTCCTGTAAAAGTCTAAAAAGAATGAGAAAATAGCATTAGGAGACATCAGCATGGATATATTATTATTATTCTGTGAAATGGTGGATTGAAGATCTTCTTTGTGGACACAATCAACCGAAGAATTCAGACTTCAAGCAACAGATTAAGGACTCACCCTGACTGACCCAAAGAGTCATATTGGCTTTAGAAATCTTCCTTTCCACGGAACCTCCATTGTATACTCTTTGTTATCTCTTTACCTGAGATATAGTTAGCAAAAACTGGCTCTTGGGATATCTATCCTTGAACAGGAATATGGCAAAACGATGAGCAGATCTGAGTATCTTTAAAAGATATGACACGTTATCTCAACAGGATTTAGTGGAACCAAGACTGGAATATTCTGGCTTTCTGAGCACATATATGAGATTATTGGTGTTTCAATCTAATAAATTTGAAGGGCGCCAGGTGGGTCAAGATTGGAGGGAACATTCTCCAGCCAGCTTCCCTCATAGGGTTGGTATTGGATGAATTAAATTGGAAGGTGAAGTTGACCACTTTGGATGCTATAAATCAGTGGTTCTCAACCTTTTTAATGCCGCGACCCCCCCAACCAGTCGTAAGTCGAGGACTACTCAACTGGTTGTAAGTTGAGGACTACTCATCTGGTGTAGCACCGTTTGCAGAATGGGACTTTTGGCGGGCTCAGCAGGGCAGAGACAGCCTGGACAATTCCTATTGGCTTTTGAAAGCCAATAGAATTAGATTCTATTCAAGAGAGTCTCTTCTATTGGCTTTCAAAAGCCAGTAGAATAAAAGGGAGTAGCACAGCTAAGGAAAAGGGGGGAAAAATAGCGGACTGCGTTGTTTGGCGACCCCCGTGAAATGGTTGTTCGACCCCAAATGGGGTCCCGACCCACAGGTTGAGAACCACTGCTATAAATGGAAAGGCAGAATTGAAAGCCGGAGCAAAAGTCTGTCACCTTGAACTTCCATGAAAAAGCAGGATAAATCTAAGGAAAAACTAAACTCCAGATGGTTTGAGAGATCAGGTCAACCTGATGCCCTCTAGTCTAGATCTGTCAGACACCCACTTCCTTGGTCTGGGTGGCTAGAGATGAGGAGCTGCAAATAGCAGAAGGATCCCAAAGTCTGGTATAAGGAACATCTGGCTTGACCACAAATGGTTGCAACTTTCGCAAACCCCTCTTCATATTATGAGGCACCTCAAGAACATAACAGCTACTTCAGAAGAACTGGATGCACAAGGGTCCTGCACAGATTTCATGTTGAGTAGTTTTACTAATAGCACTTTTCACTGTGCTTACACTCTCAAGGGACCCTGCCAGTGAAGACCGGGTAAACCTTACCCTAAACCAGTGGTTCTCAACCTTTTTAATGCCGCGACCCCCAACCGGTTGTAAGTCGAGGACTACTCAACTGGTGCAGCACCGTTTGCAGAATGGGACTTTTGGCGGCTCAGCAGGGCAGAGACAGCCTGGACAATTCCTATTGGCTTTTGAAAGCCAATAGAATTAGACTCTATTCAAGAGAGTCTATTCTATTGGCTTTCAAAAGCCAATAGAATAAAAGGGAGGAGCACAGCTAAGGAAAAGGGGGGAAAAAAGGGTGGACTGTGTTGTTTGGCGACCCCCGTGAAATGGTCGTTCGACCCCAAATGGGGTACCTACCCACAGGTTGAGAACCACTGGTATAGATAGAACCAGTATTTCATCAATGGAGAGACTTTTTCCATGTGGGCAGACTCAACTGGTTTATCAGGACTCAATAGATGGGCAGTGATATTGAAGTATTGAACTATTAGAGGCAACAGCTAGAATTTCACCTGACAACCAACAGCCCTAAACTTCAAATTAAAGCAGCTTGAATGCTGGATAAAGGGTTGAACTAAGGCTGGGGAGGACCTGCTGCTTCACCACGGAAGAGCCCCGGGATCGATCGATCAATCTCCCTCTCTCTCAACCCAGCCTATATCGCGTCCATCTGCTTCGGAGGAAAAATCCGGAGGAAGGATTTTTGTTTTCAACCGCCTCTACCTGGAGGTCAACCCCCTCCATCCAGACGCGCAGGGGCCAAACCCAGCGGGGACCTCCCTCCTTGCCCAAGGCCACCCTCCCTCCTTCCTCACCCCCCCCCCCCCGCTACCTTCAGCGACTTTATCTCCCTCCTCCAGGGCGAGAGGAAGAGGTTGACGCACAGCAGCTCCAGGTAGCCCAAGGCCTGGATCAGCTGGCCGAGGAGGGCGCTCGCCTTCCGCTGCCCGCGCGTCCTCCAGCAGCTTTCCGCGATCGCGCCCGCCTCCCACTTGCCCGCCCGGGCCAGCCGCAGGCGCCCGGCGCGGCGCTTCAGCGGCGCTTCGTCGCAAAGGCGAAGCTTCCCTTCCGCCCAGTTGGCGCGGTAGAAAGCCAGGTAGTCTTGCAAAACTTCCGAAGACGGGAAGCTCTTCATCCTGGTGGCCGCCGCTCCTCCGGCCGCTTCCCCTTCCTTTCCTTCGCGCCGCGCTTGAGCGTTTCAGGACGGACGGACGGACGGCCAGCCCGGCTCTCTCCGACTCGCGGGACGCGGAAGCTCCCACGCTTGGTCTCTTTTGGCTGGCGGGGGGTGGGAGGGGAGGGCGGAGAGGGAGGCGCTCGAGGCCCCCATTGGCCTGGCCGTGCCCTTGCCCGCGATGCCAGTGGCTGCCCCTGCTGTCGCTCAAGGCGAGCCAAAGCTTGGAGCCGTCGTCGTTTTCATTTTGGGCTGGCCTGGCGCCGGGAAGTGGGGGGGGGGGAGGGAGGGCTGCAAAGCGAAAGTGAAACCGAAGGGAAAAGGATGAGCGGAGTTCCGCTTTGGGTAGCCGAGTTCAAAGGCTGGCTGGTCTTTCGTTAGTTCCAGAAGTGCCACCAGGCGTGATGGGATGGCTGCTCTTCTTTTATAGAGTGTGAGTTCAAGGTGATGCTCTAAGACAACGGTTCCCATCCTTTTCTATACCCCGCGCCCCTAGAATGCTTCTGATATAGTCTCGCACCCCTTACGAAAGTTTGAAATAATGGCAACAAATTATGCATATATAATTTTGGAAACCCAAGTTTTTGCATCTCGCACCCCTGGCTGGGAACCCCTGATCTAAGATGATCAAAGGCCCGGAGACCAAAACATGAAGAACGGCTGCAGGACTTGGGTTTGGCTAGTCTAAAGAAAAGAAGAAATCGGGGAGACATGATAGCAGCGTTCCAGTACTTGAGAGGCTGCCACAGAGAAGAGGGGGGTCAAATTATTCTCCAAAGCACCAGAGGGCAAGACAAAAAACAATGGTTGGAAACTGATCAAAGAGAGAAGCAACCTGGAATTAAGGAGAAACTTCCTAACAGTGAGGATGATTAACCAGTGAAACAGTTTGTCTCCAGAAATCGTGGGCGCTCCATCACTGGAGATTTTTAAGAAGAGGCTAGACAGTCACTTGTCTGAAATGGTATAGATTCTCCTGCTTGAGCGGGGGGGGGGAGGCTGGACTAGAAGATCTCCAAGGTCCCTTCCAGCTCCTATCCTATTCTAAAAGTTCCATCTTAGCCTTGGAAGCCCACTGAGTGACTTTGGGCCAGTTCCTCCCCCTCTCAGCTCAACCCACCTCACAGGGCGGCTGTTGCTTTGAATATGTTGGGTTATTTGTAAAAATAAAGGTGGCTTATGAATGAATGAATATATTGTTTTGCATCAGGTACAGCGGACAAAACCTGGGACTGCTCTGAAGCCCACATCTGGCACAGGACCGTTGGAAAGGTGTTCAGATAAAGCAAGCCTTTTCTTTCAATCTTTATAATCATGATAGCATCACTATAGTGAAATCAACCAGTTTAAATGCAACCCTGAGGCCAATATTTGGGGGTTATCAATACAGGCCTTTCTGGGACATTGGCCAATCCGGCATACTCTTCCTAGACTCATAGATGTTGTGAATATTGATTGTTAAGTAAAAACAATTACTCTTATGAGACCTCGGAAGTTACCACTTTCCATAACTTGGTTGTGACCCACAACATCAAAAAGTGCTGCTGAACTTTTCCAGGAACTGTTGGCACCCCAAAAAGCCCGAAGCATTACAGATAAAACGATTACTTCAAATTAGTGAGATGTAAATATCATGCAGATTCTGTTTCATGAAGTATGTCTTTGGCTCAGGAGCCTGTTTATAATCTTAGAATTATATAGCTTAGATACAAGTCAAGGATTGAGTTTTGGAATAACCCGTTTACTTTGGGAGCATCCATTCATATATAATAAGAAATACAGAGCAAGCTTTTGAATCATGCAGTACTTAAAATTTGGCGGAAAGGTTATTCCATGTAAATTTAAATTGTTCGCATATTTCTAACTCCAAAGAGGCTGGTTTAATGCATGCTGTAAAAGCTTTCCATGTATTTTTATTGCTTTTCTCTTTGGAAACATTATACAAATATCCATCATTTAATTAGCGTCACGAAGAAAAACAATTCCCTTTCTATTATGCTGCATAAAATAATCATCACAGATGGGCGTTTTTTTGTTTTTGCATTTAATTGTGAATGGAATCCCATGCTTTTACAAATATTTAGCCTTCTGTATCCAGAGGTAAATGCCACCTTTTCGTTGCTACATTTCTAAAGGTTGCTAAAAGACAAACAAACAGAGCAAAACAAGCCATATTCTATTCTTGCTACAATGTACAGATAGTCCTTGACTTAACAACCATTCATTACCGACTCTTCAAAGTTACAAGGGCACCGAAAAAGCGACTTAACGACTAGTCTTGCACTCACAAATGTTCCAGTATTCCCAAGATCACATAGTCAGAATTGTGGTGCTTGGCAACCAACTTGTATTTATGATGGCTGCAACATCCCAGAGTCGTAAGATTGCCATTTCCGACCTCCCCATCCGGCTTCTGACAAGGGAGAAGCCAGATTTGCTTAGTGACCAAGTGATTTGCTTAACAACAGCCGTGATTTGCCTAACAACCATGGGAAATAAAGTCGTAAAATCAGGCATGACTCATTTACCAACCATCTTGCTTAGCAACCGAGTTTCTGATCTGAACCATGGTCGTAAGTCGAGGTTTACGCATAGAGGAAGAACAGGAAGACCATGGGAAATGCATTGCCGTTATAACAGGCGAGACTAGTGTTTCTCAACTGGGCAACATTAAGATGGATGGACTTCCCGTATGACTCTGGGGAATAGATGCAATTGTTGGGATAGGTCCAAATCAAAATCTTAAGGAAAAGTTTTATTATTCTGATTCAAGCATGGATATTTGATCCTGGATGGATCAGAGGTAAGGATGGCCGTGATTTGTGGTTGATAAGAAGCTGGTGTAGACCTTCTACAAGTTAAATACAACACAGATTTTCCAAAGCACCTGAAGGCAGGACAAGAAGCAACGGGTGGAAACTAATCAAGGAGAGACGCAACCTAGAACTGAGGAGAAACTTCCTGACAGTTAGGACAATTAATCAGTGGAACAACCTGCCTCCAGAAGCGGTGAATGCTCCAACACTGGAAGTTTTTAAGAAGAGACTGGACGGCCATTTGTCCGAACTGGTATAGGGTTTCCTGCCTGAGCAGGGGGTTGGACTAGTTGACCTCCAAGGTCCCTTCCAACTTTACTACTACTACTATTATCATTATCATTATTATTATTATATAGTTCTTGACTTACAACAGTTGGTTTAGTGATTGTTCAAAGTTACAGTGGCGCTGAAAAAATGGCTTATGACTATTTTTCACACTTAAGACCATTGTGGCATTCCCACGGTCATGGGATCCAAATTCAGAGACTTGGAACTGACTCATATTTATGACGGTCGCGGTGTCCCAGGGTCACGTGATCCCCTTTTGTGACCTTCTGACAAGCCAAGTCAATGGGGAGCCGGATCCATTTAATGACCCTGTTACTAATTTAACAACTGCAGTGATTCATTTAACAAATGTGGCAGGAAAGGTTATAAAATGAGGCAAAACTCACTTAACAAATGGCTCACATAGCAACAGAAATTTTGTGTTCGTTAAGTCGAGGAATACTCGTGACAGATTTATTTAACAGAGGGTTTCGAAGTTTAACTTTGGTGGTTAGTTGACCCGTTAGCTACTTTTTATATGCAGTAGATCGATGAAAGATCAAATGGGTGGCAAACAGACTTGTAGAAGCTTACAAATGGTGGGTCTGTTTCACAAGGAGGGGAATTGTCATTGCTGCAATATACTTTTTAGAATTCAACTGGGGGGGGGGGACAATGTACGTATACATGCCTTCGTCTTTTTTCTTTTCCAATGCACATTTTTAAAATGTTTTATTTACCTTTTTGTTTTGTTTTTGTAATGTCGAGGTCTACCTGTATATTGAAGTCCACATATTGCCAAAGTTGAGAAACTGATTTAGACATTTGGTTTGGGGATACTCTCGGTCAAATCCCGCCTTGACTCGAGAGCTGGCAGAGTAATACTAGACTGATCAACCTCACCCTCATCATTTTCATAGGATTGCTGCTGTGGGAATATATTTAGGGGACAACCATGGGGGTCTCAGAAAAAAAAATCATATAATGCAATGAATAAAATCAACAAGGAATGAAAAATGATCGAAAACATAAGAATTTTTTAAAAGCAGGTCTACATTTGGAATTTTCAGATGTTGCTCTCCAGGTAGGCTTGGTGTCTTTCTTTTTAATGACTTTCAGCATCAGATTGAACTTGCTCTACCCCAACTGCTCTGTAAAAACGGATCAAACACTGAAGTTAAAATTCTCTAATGATGTGAGATGTTTTGTAGGACAGAAACAACAGCAGCAGCAAAGCAACAATATAGCAGCAACCCATCAGAGGTTTAAAATTCTAGAAGCCCAGCAAAAGGAGATCAGCAGAATTCTAGTTTCTAGAATTCAGAATTACAGCTCAGAAGAAATCAGATTATCATATACAAATCAATGATCTGAGATACTTCAAGAAATCTGCAGTCAATTATTAGTTGGAGAATCTTATTTCGGTACATAAACTGAATCATCATCATGGTCATTGTGAACTTACCCCATAGACCTCAGAGCAACATGGATGGCATTCTCCCTATTTTATTAGCTCCCCAACTCTCCCGCGAGGTAGGTCGTGTTGATAGCCAGACAGGTTGGCTTCGGGATGGCTATTTTCCCAGGCCACACTAAGGTGCAAACTAGCCAGCCTGCATTTTAGCCTAGTGTGTTTTGTAAAACCTAGCCCACATTTTCCTTACAAAGAATCCCTCTGTAATTTATATCTACCCCTTACAAGCAGTGCTTAAAATATTGGTTGTACTTTTTTTTTAAATGCATTTTATTTATGAATCAGATTTATATAGTTGCCCATCTCACCGAAGTTGACACGGGCAACTTTTCCTCCCAAACCAGGGAAGATCCAACAAGAATTGTAAGTTCTATGTGCCTCTGGTTGAGCATTTGAGACATTTTAAAATGCTTCGGAGGTGTCCATTTTCCCTAGCATTGCTTTTAATGTTTTACATTTTTAAAGTGGGAGAAGAAGCAGTGCAAAAGACATAGAGAGGCCAGCTTTCAAAAAAGAAAACAAAACCCGTATCTCCAAAAACAGCCCGGTTCAAAGTAGCCCTGTTCGAAGTAGAAAAAAGAGAAAAGTTTTGCTGCAAGTACACCGGTGGGTGAGTGATCAGTTCATCTTTCCATGTGATCGTCCTGCCTTCGCCTTGAAGGTTTCCTTCTGATGTCCCCACAATGTAATTAGTTTATGCTATTCTGTTGAAAAGTGTCCGATGGTAGTCTGCTGAACCTTTCAACAGAGCTAGTGAGACTTGTGGAACATTCTGTTCACACACAACAGCCTCGTACGGAGGGGCGGAGTCTGTTGGCAAGGATGACGATGAGGCTGCAGAAGGTTGATGCAGGTCCTGTATTCTAACCAAACCTTCAGAATCCCTTCCCATTGTTGTACTGGTAGATCCCCTTTCCTCCAACGGGTTGTTGATAGACACATCATTCTGCTGACAAGGGTCTACCAGAGAATAAGGTGGAGGATCTTCTGTTGGAAGATAGATTTGGGCTGCTCCAGGCCCGACACACTCATCGTACCTGAAAGAAAACACAGCCACTGGTGTAGTTCTTGGGCCAATCCATCCATTCAAAACAACAGCATACAGACATCCATTTGGAAGGGAAGTAAGAGATAACAATTGAAATCAACTGACACAGCAGGTGAAGCCAAAATTTAAATACGTTTTACGCTACAAAACCAATTCTTTCCTGAACTGGAAACTCTTTTTCAAGGAACTAGAAACTTTAAAGGAAGTTGCCATGCTTAATGTAAAGAACAGAGGGCTGCTAATTAAATGCAGACCCCATCAAGCATTAACTATAATAACTGAAATAATAAATAGATTGAGCACTGACGATGTTACTTAATTTGGTAATAAAATATTTGCTAGAAAACAAGCTCAGAGAGCACCAAGGACCTCTCGTTTCAACCTTGAACTACAAATATTCTCCTTTATCCCTAATAAATAAATAGCTTTGCTATTTTGTGGTTGTTAAGTCTTGTCTATTTTTTTGTTTTTAACTCTGTTTTTATTCTATTTTAATTGTGAGCCACCCAGAGGAAATGGTTGATCTATATGTTTACTAAATAAATACACAGATAAATAAACAAGTCTGAGTCTTTTACACAGGGTAGCCAAATAGAGTCTGTCTGCTTATTTTTTTTTTTTAAACCCTCTGTATCTGCTCTTTCTAAAATACTAATTCTAAAATAGATCTGACATGTTTCCAGTGAATTTGGGTCCCCAGGAAATCCATTAAGAGAAGAAGGATATTTATGGATATTACTTTTGATTTACCCTTTCAAGAAAAATAGACTAGAGTGGTTCCATCTGAATGCTTTGGCAAAATCCTGATGAAGGAAAACAGGAAGGAAAAAAAAAAGCAGAATAATCTCAAATGCAATCTGTAGACTCGTATGAGAACCGATTAGGGAAACATTTAGAGAGATAATCACATTTAGTTGCAAATGAGATTTCTGTAGCTCGTACATCAAAGCAATTAAGTTATTAATGTCCCGAAGGCATCTTTCATAAATGAATGTCCTAATTAGCATTGCATATAAATAGTTTTTATGCCCTGTATAGCCTTCAAAATTTTAAACGAAGAACAACCACCCACCAAAAATGGGATCCGGCTTCACTTTATTGGTTAGGAGTGCAAGTTAATTGATTCCCAGAAGAATCGGTCTCAGGTGCTGATGTTGTATTCAGCTATAATGGCTGCCTTGTTTGACCTCTATGCCCTTTTCCCAAACTGGTGCCTTCCAAATGATAGGGGATGCTAAACCCAGAATTCCTGAAAGCCCCTTTCACCTGATACAAACTTTATTGGGCATGTGTATGGCTCTGGGCAAGCGTTGGCAATTTATATTTCATTCTGGACGAAACATAATTTAAAAATCTACATATGCTCCCATCTTCCACATTACATTCAATTCCATTTCAAGTACTGATCATGGTTCAGCGGAGCGGAAAACCCCCAACAATGCCATCAAAAATCTCAGACGCAACAGAAGCCTATCTGAAAATGATTCTTTTAGAACCCCATTAAACCTGGCTGCCATGGAAATTCTGGGAGTTGAAGTCCCCACATCTTAAAAGTTGCCAAAACTGAAAAACGTGGTTTTATAATTTCTTGTGTTAAATGTGCCTAACAGTTGTATTTTTGTATTTTATGATTGTTGGCCATCTCTAACCCTTTGGAAAGGAGCCAAACAGTGGAATAATATATTATTCAGAACACAACATTAGAATGTGAAAAGGTGTTTGTCTTCAGTTATTCTTTATACTGATTTTCGACTGTATTCTACAAACTTCATTTTTCACACCCCTTAACTTGGGGCTCTTGCAGAGCAAAACAAATGAGAACATTTGCTATCCTAACATGGTAACACAGAGGAAAAGAAACAACCTGACATCTATCACAGGAAGCCTCCTTCAGACTTCTGCATGCCATAAAGGGGTCATTGTAACTCATTCATCCATATTGTTTTGTACCTAATAACCTTGGAGCAAGCCTCCTGGATCTCAGTAGGGTTTACTTCTGAACTGACATCATGCAGGATCAGCATGTAACTCAGCATGTAGGATACCAAAGTAAAGGCAGAGGGAGAACAGAAGAGAACTGGGGGTCTTAATTCAATCTCCCAGCACAGAGCAGGTTTTTATCTCTGAGATCTATAGCTGGTTTGAAGACGTCCCGTTTGAAGAACTAGAGAACTGTAATATAGTGAGGTGTTCAATTCATTGCCTTTGGATCTGTTACAGAGGAGGGAAAAAATACTGCAATGAAATGGAGATGCTAAACTTTCAGTAGCACAACACGGAATGCTTGGCACCTGGAAGAGGAAAATGGTGGATGCAAAACTGAGGAACCATCACAACCCTACAACGAGTGGCGGAAGGAAAGAAGGAGGAGGTTTGGGAGAAGAGAGTGAGAGAAGGGCTGAAACCTGGAAGATTACTGGAGCTGGCAATTGGCAACCTGGCCTGGAGGACTTAGAAGAATGCTAGCTGGTAGAAACAAAAGCTGTACTTCCTAGATACTCTTACCAGTTAAGCAGATGGCCAGCTTCCCACTTAGGCTGCAGGGAGAGAATGGAAAGGTTGCAAAAAGCGCTGATTTATTGGGCCTCTTGCCAGGAGTTGAATTTGCTTCCTGTAATTAAGTTAGTGGGAGAAAATCTGTGTGTTTCACCCCTTGAGCACAGAGCATAGTAGACTCTGCAAATTAGTGGAATGAAGTACTGCTGAAATAAAAAGGACTTGAGAAGAGACAAAGCACCCTCGCTTCTGCACTAGGGAATATGAAGAGAAAGGAGGGCTGGCCAAGCTCCTGCAGCCAGACTTCAAGCTGCAGGCAGGACTGGATCTAATGAAATGAAGTCTTAAGAATCCAAGAAGAGTAGAGATAGATAGATAGATAGATAGATAGATAGATAGATAGATAGATAGATAGATAGATAGATAAAGCCGTAATGAAGGAATATCATACCCATCATATCCAAAATGGCCATCCAATCATATATCGGTGGATACTAACATACCATATTATACCTGGCTAATAAAAATGTTACACAAATACACAATAACAAATCTACCCAACATCTCAGCTCCATTTCCAATGCTGTGGTTTTGCACAATCAATCCCTATTTATGGAATCCTCTAGCAATCACTTAGGGACTTGTTCTTATGCTTGTGCTGCAAAAGGTCCCTCTTTTATAAATGAGAAATCGGATATCCATCCATTTCTTGTTTTGGAAATAGGGTTTGCAAATTGTTTTTCTCTTACTGTGATAAGCCATTTCTGACAGGCTGATGGTCTTTTGTGTCTTAGAAGCTCAGAAACACGGACTGATCACAAGAAGTCATCAAACTCGTAGATAAAGTATGCATACACATACAGTGTATTATTTTGATTAGTATAGTCATCTATCTTGTAGTAATAGCTCTTGGCAACTTACAATAAAGTTTCAAAGTTTTTTCGTTTTTCTTTGTGTTGTATCTGGGAATTGGTAGGAAATTAAGCTGCTGATTCTTGGACACTTGTTACAATTTTTGGTGAAGTTGTTCAGGAAAGGCACACAACAACAACAAAAAGAGTCCAGAGACCAAAAGGCACTTGAGATAGATGGGTCAATGGTTTTAATATACAGCTATTCCTATGTAATTCCTTGAATCAAGAAGTTTCAGTTGACTTTTGCAACGACCCGTAATAATTCCATCTGATCCCGTTCACAATTTCAGTCAAATATCTAATAACTGCTTTTATATGGCTTACTAATATGGATTAAGTTTTATCTTCCCGTAGATCCTTTTCAGTAGCATAGTTGTGTGAATCTGTGGTTTGGCTGATTGATAATTCAGTGTACTGTGGGAACGCAGAACGTGGCTTGATTAAGTAACTCAAGTTAAAATGGGATTTGCAAATTGAGCTAATATCCATTGTCAGCTCTGAGCAATCTTTAAACAAACGTTACACAGGAATTTAAGAGTTAAGAGTCATTAAATGGATCATCAGCAATTAATAGGAACTTAGCAGTTCGAAAGCATGTAAATGCAAGTGGATTAAACTGATACCACTTCAGCGGGAAGGTAACAGGGTTTCATGTGCCTCAGCATATAGCCACGCTGGCCATGGGGGCCACAGAAATGGTTTTGGACAACCCTGGCTCCCTCAATTAGGAAATAGTGATAAGCACCACCCCGTAGAATCAGATGTGACTGGATAGGGTAAACCAGGGGTGTCAAAGTACCGGTCCACGGGCCGGATGCGTCATGCCGAAACTGCGCCAACCCCATTGCCGGCAATGGAAAAAAAGTTGTGATATGTTGTGACACGTCCCGCGACATTGCGAGTTTGACACCCCTGGGGTAAACCTTTGCCTTTTTCAACCTTTTAAAAAGTATTATAAATACAAAAGGAATTTACCGTGGTGGCGAGTCTGGGTGTATGATGTTGGCCTGGGAAAGCGTCTCCATGTAAGAGCTAAAGTAAAACGTTGGCGGGAATTCCTCAGCACAGTTGGATCTTAGCTCTCCGACAGAACCGCCATAAGAGAAACAGTCTGGAGCTGGGGAAAAGAAAAGTAACACTAGCATGTTCCACTAGCATGGACTAAACAAAAGTTGGAGACTTGGAAATTCTAAATCACAAATATTTAGGATGTATCCAGGAATGCAACTGTTAGGATGAAGTGAGGGCTACGGAGAAGAAGGTTGGAAATATTTACATCTCGTATTAGAGGTAGTCCTTGACCTATGACTGCAAGTGAGCCCAAAATTTCCATTGCTAAGTTGTTAAGGGAGTTTTGCCCCATTTATGGTCTTCCTTGCCCACAGTTTTAGTCAATCACTGCAGCTGTTAGTAACATGGTTGTTAAACAAATCTGGCTTCCCCATTGACTTTGCTTGTCAGAAGGTTGCAAAAGGGGGGGGTCACATGACCCCAGGACATTGCAACCGTCATAAATATGAGTCGGTTGTCAAGCGTCTGAATTTTGATCATGTGAACGTGGGGATGCTCCAACGGCCGTGAGCGTGAAAGCTGGTCATGTCACTTTTTCCAGTGCAGTTGTAACTTTGAACAATCGCTAAGTAGCTGCACGTCAAGGACTACCTTCGTTGAATTCCTAATTTTAACGGTACTATTAGAGAGAAAAAAGAAAAAAAAACCAATATAGAAGACTCTCTTACTATAGCTGGCATCGCTCCACAGCTGGAGATGCCGAAAGCACTGATTTTTTCGTAGACTGCCGATCAGGATGGCCACACAGGATAGAAACAAGACCACTCCGATGACTACGCCAGCCACAAGCACTGACGAATCCAGCATAATAGTGCCTCCGTGGGTTTCTGTGCAGAGAGTAATCTCGCTGATGAAGTTGCTACGGTTCAGGTGGATTTCTATGTAGCAGTGAGACAGAAAGAGTCACGGTTGAAGAGATCTTACAAACCAACAGCCAATTTCAAATGTATATTTCCAGATAAATCTTTGGGGTTTATAGGTGAATTGTAGGAGATGACTAGGCTGAGTCCGAGGGAGGGGTCAAACGCCTCATCAGTCTTGAGTACCTTCATGCCCACAAGAGATCTTAAGTCCAGCCCACCTTGAATTCCTTTGACTCTTATTCTACCTCCAATTTACTTTGATAGTTAGTAATTCAGATTGTTGTAGAGAGGTTTAGCGTGCAACAAACCTGTATATATATTCATTTGAACTGCATAGACTCTTGATTTCCTATGCTTGACATGAATGGACAACATCCCATCAGATTCAATCAACGCAATCATCAAGACTACAGTATTGCTGGATTGTTGCAATTCTCTCCATCCCTGATCACAGGGTTATGTTGGTGAGAATTAGTAGGATTTACAGTCCAGTAATATCTGGCTATGAATGAAATCCTGGTTTCCATCATGACTTGGGTTGAGTTCTCTTTACAGTTTTTTTAGTTGCCTAATTGTCAAGCGTACATCTCCTGGAAGTGGTCTCAGTTACTTGCTCCCTTTAGGCTAAGAGACAGTTGCTAGTGTCACACATCGTACTAAGCCATACACTTACGTTTATACATCACAATGGCTGGCTTTGGGCATCATGCAAAATTAAAGCCGCAGTTTGGATGGAGGTGGATTCACACATTATGCTAAATTGAAGCCCACCACAATAGAGTTTAGGCTGGCACATGAATTAGGGGTCTCTGGTGACTTCTCAGTGCCTCTATCCATACAATGTCCAGTCTCAATATAAAACTGATAGCGTGCTGTTGCTTGTCAAGTTTTTGAACTAAAATACTCAGACAGAATAACAATAACAGAGTGGGAAGGAAACCCTATACCATTTTCTTAAAAACCTCCAGTGTTGGGGCAAAAATAACCAAGACTGGTTTTGTACATTCAAGCATATTAAATGGGTTAACAGAAGCCAAATCTTCTAGGATTTTTGGACGTTTCTCCTTCAGTGCAAAATGCTGGCCTGTTCTTTTCCGACAGCTGACATTGCTTTTTATTTTTTGCTGCCACTGTCTGATAACAGGCTCCGCCATGTGCACTGACATTCTTATTAAAGAGTCAGAAGGAATCAGACTGGATCACTACTGACCTGCATACTCAGAACATCAGAAGCGAAGGAAAGGTGCCAGGAAAAGAGGTCAAGAAATAAATTGTTTCAGATATTTGTGCCTTTGGGGCACTGCGTAGATGTCACAGCCACTTGTAAATGTGCTATTTCAAATTAGCAGGTAAACACATGTAGGCTTCTTATTCTTCACACCGCCAATCTGTTTTATCAACATGATAAATTCCACTGGAGTGAATGAAATTGCTTGGGTAGGAAGCAAGCATGAGACGTATGTCACCAGCTATAGCATTAACCTGGGACAGGACTTCAGGATTCTCATGCCAGGAAGCAGATTGTATACTCGGTTCACCACAATCTAGCCCAAAGTTTCTGCTGCTAAGCAAGGCAGTCAAGTGAGTTTTGCCCCATTTTACAACCTGTTCTTGGCATGGTTGTTGAGTGAATCTGGCTTCCCCACTTATCAGAAGGTTGCAAAAGGTGTTCACAATTCTCGGGACCCTGCAACTGTCATAAATACATGCCAGTTGCCAAGGGTCTGAATTTTGATCACATGATCGTGGGGTTAGGATGCGGCAACGGTTGGTTAGGAAAAATGGTCATAAGTCACTTTTTTCAGTGCCATTGTAACTTTGAATGGTGACTAAATGTTGTAAGTCAAAGCCTATCTGTATTCCTAACCAAGATCTAGCTCTCCACACAGCACTAAACTATGTATGACCTAATAAGTTTAGTGGCCTGGATTCAAATATTATGGTAAGATTTTTTTGCAGACCAAATTGGCTTGGTTGAATCATGGCTTATTGGCTATGCCCAAAGACCTGCATTTGTACCAACCTCTAATCCACAAACTCTGGTTTAGAAATCAATAGCTGTATTCATACCAGCCGTGAAGACAAACACAGCACTCTATAGTATGTTATAGTCAGCCAAACACAACCACTACATGGATTTCTCACATTGTGCTAAACTCTGCACCTGGTCAGCTGAACAAACCACAAGTGTGTGAGTTCGTACATGTGAAGCCAGGAACACGGCAACCATACCACTTCTTTGTACAGTGTGCGAATTCAGTTAAGATAGATTTTTCCATCGTTGTCTGGATGTGGATGATATGTGTGAGGCTGAAACATGATCCTGACTTACTGTGGCTGCTGTTTTTCCCTTTAATGCATTTAACTTGTTCTAAAAATAAATGAGCCTCAAATATAAGCCAGCCAAATTTTATAACAACCTGCTCTACTTCTTTCATATATACATATATACATACACACACACACACACACACACACACACACACACACACATCTCTTATTACAGGTGATGTTACCAAGCCAACCCTAATCTGGCAAGAAATGTATTTATTTCATTCATTCATTATCTTTAAATAAAGCCAGGCCTGTCTTTTACTGGTGGACTGGCCAAGCAAACTACATGGCAAGGCAGGAACTGGTCTTAGTGGAGAGGAACAGGAAGGATTTACTAATCGCTTATCTTAACCAAGATTATTCTATTGCAATAGTAACACGAACAGTACTTGTGCTTGTACACCAGGCTAAGCCATGCTTACTCTTGATTTGTTGATTAATCCCCAGTGGGTCGATTCAATACTAAACCATAAATTATATTTTCAAATCCAACATGCCAGTTTCAACCCAACCCAATGGCATGAAAGACCAAGAAAAGAACTGTATGTACTAGGAACTACAGGTATCTTGTGACTAAAGCTACATTTTTTGAAAAGTTTACTTTGGGCTAGATTTTAAACAAAGCAGTGCAGCCTAAGAAAGGAAGTCCTCTTGGATTTGAAAGAAAACACTGCAACGAGAGCGCATTGGAGAGAGGAACAAATAGTTTTTCCACTCAAGCTGTCTCTTAGCAGCCTAATAGGAAAATGGAATGTTTGGCAGGCAGAAGGAAACGGTTAAATAAACGAGTCTAGTAGTTAGGGAAGAGATAAGAAGCTTTTTTCAAACTTGGCCTACTCACTATATGGCCACTATGGGAGCTTTACTTGTCCAATAGAGGGCCAGTTTGGTGTAGTAGTAAAGGCACCAAGCTAGAAATTGGGAGACGGTGAGTTCTAGTTCCACCTTAGACACAAAGACAGTCACTGGGCCAGCCACTATCTCTCAGCCCTAGGAAAGAGGCAGTGGCAAACGGCTATGAAAATCCTGCCAAGAAAAGGTCAGGGACTAGACCAAGCAGTTGCCAGGAGTCAAAAAGTTGAAGGCATACATATATGCACAACCACACACACACACACACACACACCCCTATTCAAAAAGAAATGCTATGGTAAGAACTCAACATCCAAGTTCATAAAGACAAATGATCTTCTCGCCAATGAATCTTTTCTGACATTCAGAGACGTTGTGACAAAATAAACGTGATGCTGGAGGCTGTCGACTTTTTGTTTAATTTTGAAATTAAAAGTATCTCTAAAAATGAACAGTCAGGTAGGGAAGGCAGTGTGTTGGCGCTTAGGGACTCCATGTTACTTAAACCATTGGCCAAAATATTGAATGGGTTTGGAGAAAGCAAGACGGCAACAATAAAGAAATTCAGACTTATTGATTGAGATGTATAGCTATAGAAATGGAAATGAATGAATGAATGAATAAAAGCAAGCAAGCAAGCAAGTTTGCTTGCTTGTTTGCTGGAGGAGTTATGCCTATTATAGCTGAGTCATAAAGTATTAAAGTAAACCTTTCTGCAGGCTGCCTCAAATGCCATTCGTGGATGGACCGGCAGGGCATCAGTTATAATTAAATAAACAAGCACAAGCAAATTATAACATGATGCCCCAGCTTTGCAGACATGCTTATAATCCTTCCTGGACCCAATGCAACCTGACAGTTCTAATGCCCCCAATCCCCTCTGCTGCTGTTGCCAGGATCCTTCTGAGATCTGCCTTCCCATTTCCTTTATATCAATCTGTTCCCGGTTCAAATACAATTTTCATCCTCAGCTTTTCAATCAAATGCTTAATGAAAAAAATAAGCGTAGTCAAGGTGCAGATGGCCAGCAGAAGTGAAAAAAAAAAGTGTTATGCTGATTAGCAGAGGTTCAAAGGAGACCATTCCAGGAAATATTGCTGTTACGGGCTCTTCTTGAAATAAATAAATTCTCTTCCAGAGAAAAACAGACCCTTTATGCCAAATTATGGGATAGGCAACATTTAGAATTGTTCTAAAATCAGATTTGTCACAGCATAACTTTCCAAATTTGGAGATATGACTCCAGCACAACAAAATGAGGCATGATATGGCCTGTAGATTAAGATAATTAAGTTTTCTTTAATGAGCTCCTCTTTAGGCCACAAGCCTCTTTATAAATAAGAAAATAGCAAAAAGAATCTATGCTATAACTCTCTTCTCAAGTTGGCTTCTTCCAAATGTGCTGGGACTCAGTTCCTAGAAGTCACATTAATGGGAAGTCACATTAATTCTGGGAATGAAGACTTTATCTCCAGAATAGAGACTGTAAAGTGAAATAGGCAATAGTGATAGGAGAAATCCTATTAGCAGGTATTGGAAAATTGCTTTTATGTCACTCCAGTCCTTCTTTTCATTAAATTACTAGACATACCCAATTTCCACAACCATTCTTTATGTTTTAGCCTCCAGTCCCCTGATCATTTCTTTTGGTCTTCTCTGCACTCTTTCTAGAGTCTCAACATCTTTTTTTACATCGTGGTGACCAAAACTGGATGCAGTATTCCAAATGTGGCCTTACCAAGGCATTATAAAGTGGTATTAACCTTTCACATGATCTTGATTCTATCCCTCTTTTAATGCAACCTATCACTGTGTTGGCTTTTTTCCCC